CGCCACCTGCACCGGACAGCGCCAGCCTGCAGGCGCCAGGTTGACGCGTGCCAGCCGGGAGCTTATGGCGCTACCTCGCGGCCACGGCACCACCACCAGTAACGAGCACCCCTGGCGCCGGCGGCGCACGTGCGGCGCCGTGCCGGCACGTCACCGCCGTCGCACGGCGCCAGCATGACGTCATCACTTGGCGTGTATAAGGGGGGGTGGTTGGGTGAGAAAATAGGAAGAAAGGGTGGGTGTGTGGCGCGGCGTATTGGCGGCGGTGCTTCTCGTCGATGCCGGTCAGGTAGTAGGTGCCCGGGAAGAGCATGCTTGGGTCGGCCTTGGGCGCGTAGGGAGCTGCGGCACAGGGACGCGCGGTCACACGGTGCCCGCACAGGAGCGGCGGGACGCCAGGCGACCCGCGGCAGCTGTGCGAAGATAGCGAGCGACCGGCGAGTGGTGGTGCTGCAGCATTCAACGAACAAAAAGCACAACGAATCAACAAGTATTTGGTGATCCACAAAATCCCCAACTGGTACAGCGACGCAAGAAATGCGCTGCCGTAGGGAACAAAACACCTCACAGAAAACCTCGCCGAACTTTTTCGTACGTGTGATTTACATCACTTTAACGATATCCATGAAGATTATGGTGCCCTGGAGCAGCGTCTACCGTCAACCCGGTACAAATATTTATCTCATTTAGCAGTCATTGCATCGGACCTAACTGGCTGGTCACACTTGGTCAGTGTCGCAGATCGCCCTGCGCCTCAGCGCGGAGGGGCGTACGACCGGCGGCGGCCCATCCGCTACCCACCCAGGTGGTGCGACTGCTCGCGGAGCTGCATCGTGTCGGCGAATGCGGCCGGCTCCACCTTCTGACGCGCCTCCAGGCGGCCAACCACGTCACTGACGCCCCGCCAGCTAGAACAGGAGGGCACCGCGTTACCGCCCGCTCCCACACCGCCCAGCCGCTGAGCCCGTGAGAGCGCCCGGCAGGCGGACACGCGGCGCATCCCAACTCCACCCCGGCACCGTCGCTTCAGCACGGAGGCGAGGCGAGGTGTTGCAGCGAAGAGCGAGGCAGAGCCAGCGGCGGAAGATAGACGAAACAGTGGACAGGACCAAGCGGGGAAGGCAGCCGGCTGTGCGCTGGTGACGTCACGGCGGCGCCCGGCCCGCGCGGCGGCGGCGATGCTGCTAAGAAGGCACGGCCACACCACAGCAGGCCTCGGCTTCGCTGGTTCCGCGTCTCGATGGAAGAGACACATCGCCAAATGTCCACATCAGATCTGCACGCTGAACCTACAGTCTCCCTTCGCTGGGCTACATGCGTCGACTCGCGCGCCGGCCGACGCTGAGCGGCGCGGGGTTGTCCCGCGCGAGCTGCTGGGGACCACTCTGCGCGACACTGCTCGGCGTCGAGGGTGAACCCACGGACGTCACATACGTCGCCAACAGGACACAGCCAATCAGGTCGTGTCACACGTCGGCAAGACCTATCTCAAATCCGAGGCGAGAGAAAACGCGCGACGAGATCGTCCCGGGATACGAAGTTCAGAGATGACGTTTGAGGCGGCCATTGTTATGGCTGAAGCATCCGTTCAACGGAGGAAATTTACACCGCCCGCGCATTAGACGACCAGGCAGGGCACCGACCGAGCGCCGGCTGTGCCACCCGACGAAGCAGCCATTGTCCAGAGCCGCCAGCCGGCCCCGCTCTCGCCGCCCTCCCGCGGCCGCCGGTGCAGTCGCCGCCCAACAGGCCACAAACAGCATGCACTATGAAGCGGCGCGAAGCCTCATTGTTGACGCAACCTCGCTACACCGTTGTTGGGATCCCGTGCCGACAGACGGGTGCTCGAAGAGAGCAGCGCGTAGCTGACCATGCTTCGGACCCGGCCCTGGTAACGACGGAGTCAGGTCAAGCGACGTTCGGCAGAGCATGCTGTATTTCCCCAAAACTGGGACTGAGTGAGTGGAAAAAGGCGGCTACGGAAATGCCGAGCAACTGCCTCTTACATACCTACCACGGATAGGAAAATTGGACGGACCGACTCTTCGTTAATTCCATCTGAGAAACTACGTTGAAGAGTGTAAAATTGGTGTTTTCAGTTCAGTCAGACGAATGCAAAGCGATCCTGTGTCCAATTCAAAGTGCTGGATTCTTCGTTTCATGAACAAGAATGCGACGACAGAGATGACTGGCATTGAGTTAGCATGCAGCCTTAGCGCCGACTCCCGGCAGTCCAGACGAGTGGACTGGATGGATATCCACATCATTTGTGTCGTCGTTCATGGTGACCGTAGTTCCAGCCACTGAAACGTGACGTTCGGGACAACACGCTTTGCTGTTGTATCTGCAATTGATAATTTACATAGACTACGGTAATAATGACCCACTTTCTCCGTCCTTCGGATAAGGAGCCATAAGTTTTCCAAACGGAACATTGGTGTTCCATTGCATTAAGTAAATGTTGACTACTCGCAGTGCTAGATTTTTTCACGCGGAAGAATGAACTCATCACATACGGACGTAGGTGGAAATAAGAGGCTAAAAAAACTACTGAATGTAAGACGCCCTTGATGCCTTTTATGACAGACGTTGGTGGAAATAAGAGGTTTAAAATACTACTGAATATAATACGTCCTTGATGCCTTTTCTAGTTAACTGCTTGCCTACGCCAATTTACACATCGTGCATCGGCATTCCGACGGAAGCAACCCAGCACGGGATCAGAGCCCCAGCCGAACCCCCGGGCGCACCGACCACCCGTTTTCGACGTTTGCCGCCTGTCACACTGCAGCACGCGCGACCCCGCGCCGCCGTGGGAACCCCTCCAACAGCAGCGGGCGGGCAGGCGGGCGGACGGGACGTTCCGTCCGCCGCCCTTCACTTGACCTAGAGCGGGCGCGGCGGGGCGCGGCGCGACTCGCCGGGTGGCATCCGCCGGGGAACCGGCCCCACCCGGTACCGCTGATGCAAACAAGCCCGGACAAAGGGGCGCCGCACACCACCGCCGCCACCGCCGCCGCTGTACACAGGACGCGCTATTCGCGGCACCAAGGTCGGCAGTGACAACGGCGGACGGAGGCGGCAGGCCCCGACCCGTCGAGGAGCTCGGCGGCACTCGCGGCCGCCCGTTCTGCATAGCTGCCGTTTCAAGAGCGGGCAGGTATGAGGAAAGGGATATGCAGTTTTTTTTAATTGATCCGCTGCCAGTGGCTTGTCCCGCCAGTCTCGCTGGTCGTTGTCACACTGCGTGGCCCCGCCCTGGAGCCGCCTTCTGCCACCCATTACTGTCTCTTGGAGCCCATCAGTTCTTGTCCAACAACTTGACAAACACTTTCGACTACGTAGGCTTTCACCCTCTGCGTTCGTGGCGTCCTTGGGGTGTTTGTCATTCTCATACCATTTTCCTTGTTATACCCTACATACAGTACAGAAACACATCAAATAAATTGTAAACGCGTGAGCTGTTCTGAACCGCCAAACTCACCAATGCCTCCAGGCGAGATCCGGATCCATTGGTGGTGGCAATCCGGATCGAAAACAGTGACGACGCCAGTCCAGATCCGTACGAGAAGAGCGCTATCCGACTCCCCGTCAGCTCGTCGGGCTTTTTGCTGAAACCAATCAGCCTGCGTTCAACGCCATTTACCGATAGCTATTGCGTAAAGGTGCGAGCGAATCTGTCCACACTCGAGAACGATCACTTATTCCAGTGAACAACATTCGGTGAGCTTTGCATCTTTAAAAAGCCACGCGGAAAAGTCCTTGAACACTTAACTTAAGCTCCATTGCTCTGCATAGCCACAGTTGTGTTAGCCACGGCTCGGGCGTTCGCTGCTGCTGGAAACTGGAAACTAGCGTGTAACTTGTAACACGAGTGAGAGCGTTGCAAATTACCAGGGCTTTCAGCACATTTTCTAGTAATCAAGAGCAGTGTGAAGGCGCTCACCTGACCAGCAGCGAGACGAGACAGCTGTACAGCGAGGGCGTGTACATGTTGCCCACGTTGGAGGCCAGCAGCAGCGACGGCTTTGTCTTCTGCTCGAACTGCGCCCGGCTTCGCTCCATGAAAGCCTTCTCCACGTCGCGGTCGAAGTAGCTCTCCTCCAGCGTCTTGCTCCTGGGCGCAGCACTCGTTTGACTGAGCGGGGAATCATGCCAGCTCCAGCGGCCGGGTCCATCCTGAGAGTGGCAGTGCCACCCTGGCCGCGCTCGCCTGGGCATCCGGCGCAAAACTGCCGTGATACCAACCAGCACGGATTACGGAATGGGGTGCTCGACGTAACACACGCATCGTTTCCCACGTCTGGCCGCGTCAGTAACCTAGGCGACTTCGGGGTCGACGGACAGCCGGCCACTGGGACGTGATCAACACGTCCCAGTTCGCTCCCGTCCACCTCTCGGAGCGTCTCAATCGGCCCCCCCCCCCCCCCTCCATGACCTGAGCGCCTCTGCTGTCGCCCGCTGACCACAGCGTCTCACCGCGCTGCGGTTCACTAACCTGAACGCCTCCAGTCCGGGGAACCGCTCGGGCACGGCGGCGGCGTCCGTCTCGAGGAAGTCATTGAAGACCAGTCTGGCCAGCGACTTCTGCACCAGCTTGCCGAACGGCGAGTGGAAGAGAACGGCGTCGAAGGAGTCGACCGTCACTGGACCGCCGCCTGAAAAGAAGGAGTGCGTCAGCTTGTTTCGCCACAGCGCGCCCACTCCAGATATCCAGCCCCACCACCCGCCGCAGCACGAAACATTCGGACCATCCAATCTCGACACGGAATACGGGGGGCTTCGTCCATCACACTCATACTTTGGAGCACCGGCGCCAAACGCCGGAAAATGGGCATTGCAAGCATAACACTGCAATGTTGAGTAATAAACAACCTTGGAAGCCGCGGCTCCAGCGCCGGAATGACGCCCTCGACCCCAGCAGTAAATCGTCTGGACGACGCAACGGCCCGTGAACGGATACGCACACATCCGAGTGCTCACAAGGCGACTCCAGTTCCGTGTATTTTCTATCGATTACCGCTTACTTTCAGCGCTCCAGAAC